TGATGAACCATCTCCTTGGCCATAGCAGCCTCAGACAGAAAATGTGTCAATCCTAAATGTTAAGAAAGGACCAAGGTGCTAGAGAAGGAGGTACAGTGTTGGAACATCTGTGGTTTTATTAGCCATATAGAGAGGATTGAATTTTCCTCCCAGGGAGGGGAGATTCCAATTGCACTCGGAAAAAGCAGAGCTTTGCCTGCAACGTTAGTTAAAAAAATCCAACTATTGAACCTAAAACGGGCCACTTCTCTAAGCCACTAAGAGGCATTTCACATCTTACACAGGAACCAATTGCTGTTCGCCTGTAGATAGCATAAATACAAGTGACCGGATGGAGAGACTTAACACATACCCTTTCACCTTCAGGTCACATATACATAAATATCTGTGGGTAAAAACTATACTTCTGGGTTAGCAACCCATATGGACCTATTCACAAATCCATATCAATTACAGATCAATGTGGTTCTCCAATGGCTGCACCTATATGATGTACTTGTTTTGATGAAATTAAAAAAATCTTTGAATGAAGATAATGTTAGTGATTCATACCAACTTCATACCTGGATAGGAACCAGACAGGAATCTGTGGATTCCAGGAACTGTCTGGACTTCCGATTTCCCCCACCCAGGCCAGAATGGCTAATGGGGAGGGCTGATGGGATCTGGAGTCTTACGGTAGTTGTGTTCCCTACCCCTAGATCTGTTATTGCTCTTGTTATGTGCTGTCAGTTGGAACCAACTTGTAGCAACCTTGATAGGATGTTCAGTGAAGTATTTGAAGAGTGCTTTTATCAGTTTCACTCTCCCAGTGAGCAGGGATTCGAACCCTGTTCTCCAGAGTCCTACTCCATTGCTATATCCACTACACACACACACCGAACTAAAGAATGTAAATTTTCTCATTACAGTACTACCTTGACTTACGAACATCTCCACTTGCGAACGATTCGAGTTACAAAAGGCTCCAGTCGCAAAAGGTTGGTTCGACTTGCGAATGGAGCCTTGACTTATGAACAGAAAAAAACTTTTCCTGCCCTTTTTTTTTTAACCTAAGTCCATTTTAGGTCAAAAGAAGAAAAAAAATTTAAAAAATTCTCCTTAGTGGTAGAGGACGGATTAACTGGCTTTGCATTAGTTCCTATGGGAACTAATGCCTCTACCTACGAACAGCGCCTCAACACACGAACGAAAAACAGCAGGTACGGATTAAATGGTTTTCAAAGCATTCCTATGGAAAAGTTTGCCTCGCCTTACAAACTTTTCAATGTACAAATGCCATTCCAATATGGATTAAGTTTGTAAGTTGAGGTACCACTGTATCTTACATCATCATGTACCTGTGTGGTTTATGCCTGCTGTCATCACAACTGTTCATGAGCTGAAGGTGCTCAGAAATAGGACCCATCAGAATCACAAGACCAGCAGAGAAGCACACGTATCTTGTGGCAGCTGACATCAGCTAGGATGCTCAGCCACTGGTGACACAGCATGCTTTGAAATGCTGGTGACTCATAGATACTGCTGCATTTTTGGCTTGGCTAACTCTGATCAGATTTATATACCCCAATTTGCCTGCACCAGCACTTTTAGCAACACAGAAAGGTTTGTCATAAATCAAACTATCAGTCAATCTAACTCCGCAATGACCCCACCAAATGGTCAACGGCTCTCTAGGTTTTCAGGCTGGGGTTTTCCCTAGTCCTACCCTGAGACCTTCTGGATGTAAAGGATCTAGTTTTCCTGGGAGCGCTGGCCTTCTTTGTATGAATTCATTATCTTTTAAAACTAGTATTTCTCTAAAAAGAGTATTTTTACCTCGGTACATGTTGGGAGAAACAGGGAAGCTGAGTCCCAACGCATCCTCTGTTGCAAACATCTGGCAAAAATCATAGAGCATTTTCATACCAAGACCACGTCTTCTAAACTTCTTTTGAACAAACATGGTGTCCAAAACAGGGAGCAAGTAGGACTGGCCGGTGTGCCCATCACACAGGCTTCCTGGAAGCAGGACACAAAATTGCCTGTAATTATCCTGAATTCTAAACAGAGCTCATGAATGAGCTTATTAAAATCAGTAAGAGGAAGTAGGCAGAAGGATGCCTTTGGAAACAGGAGACCTGAATGTTACTCATCCACCCATCCATGGAAGACACTGGATAGAGAAATGGTTATTTTGGCCTAAGCTCCTTTTGAGTGTTGTTGTGCGAACTAGATAGGTACTACTCAAAAGGTAGAAATAAATGAAATATAGAAATAATTAAAGCAGTGCAAGACACTCTAGATTTAATACAAAGGGAGGTCATTCCCTTGGACATTCGTAGAAATGCCTTCAGAAGATTAAGGGCAGATAAGAGGGCATCCATGGAGCTGCTTCATAAAAGGCATGAGTGGATACAGCAAACTGGGAGTAAGTCCATCTATGGGCTAAATCCAATTTCACGTCTACTTAGAACAGACTCACTGAAATGAATGAAATGGACTGATCAAAACTGGCACAGGTACCATTGATTTCAATGAGTCGATTCCAGTTGGGAGTAAAATTGTATTTTACCCCAAACTTTCTCTGCTCAGAAAGCAAACCACAATATGTGGTAAATGTCAGGAGTTGAAAAGCGTGCAACCACACTAGCACTAGTAGCTTTGTACCAACAGAGGTAGAAACAGGAAGTTGAGGTTTCCTAGTTGGTTTGCCTGTTTCGTTCCTTCCTTCAAAGTTACTTTATCCGTGTTAACAAATAATGTGCTCTGGCTACTTTCACACATTACAATCAAAGGGTGTTTTCGTGAGGCATCTTGGTAAATTTTATGCAATATTCTTCTCGAGCGTATGTTCTTTTTAGAAGGTAACGGAAAATAATGAAAAAGTAATGCATACACAACAAAAAATGTAACAAGTTAATTTTTCAGTCTCATCATGATGAATGGTTTTTTAATGATTTTTTTCCCAAACACTGTAATGAATAACGGGAGGAAATTGATATAAAAAAGTAACTTTCAGGTTCTAGTCATTACCAGCCAAACTCTATCATCATTACATGGCGCTTCTCACCATCTAACTTGTTCATCGGATACAGCTTATTGAGTACCTGAAACATGGATAACTGAACTTTCTGTCACAGAAGAATGAGCACAATTAAAGAAATTCTCCTTCTGTTTCAGTAAAACAGAAGCGCACACAGGCAAAGGAACTCATGCCTTTCCTAAATTTATAAACAAACAAATAAAAATCGCTACACAAATACTGTATCTAACAGTGTTCTTAGACTGAATATAGCCATCCAAGCTCACGATGTGACCACCAAGAAAAAATAGCTAGAAACACAGGAAAAGCAGAGACACAACTTCCGTTGCTTTTGTTCCATTATCAAAATGACGATTCAATGGAGCCTTTGACCAAAGGAGATTTTACACAATGCAATGAAGAAACAAATCCAAATAATGAAGATAGCATTCTTCTGTGTGAACAGGAGCCATGACTGGCCCAAGAAAAACAAGAAAGGAAGGTATGTGGATTCTATTTTCTGGAACACATGAACTATTTTCATTCCAAGCTCATGCGTGGGCCACAGAGGAGTCCTAACCCTATTCTATAGACCGCTTTAACCCATTTGTTCAATAGGGTGATAGGGTGTTATACGATGGTCCCTCCTGTCCGTTGGGTAGACACACACTGAGCACTATAGGTAAAGAGGAACACAACAGAAGTAAAGGGACATCTTTGGAGAAGGAAGCCTTTATGCAGCCTGCTCCTTCAGAGCCTTTAATCTGTTTGCTTAGGACACGGATGCTAAATGACTAACCTCTGAGCCTACAGAAGGGTAAACAGCAATTACAAGGGCAGAGAAAGGAGACAGCCATTAACGCTCTCAAACATCCAAAAGCTCAGGAAAAGCCCAGCCCCATCCTGCCCCACATCTAAAAAACCCAAATCAAACAAAATTGTACATTCCAGCTAGTTCCCTGATTAACAAGCTGGCTTGGCAGACGTTTGTCCAGAGAGACCTTCTGCAGACAGAGCCCTTGTGTAACGGGAGAGAATGTTTCTGCTGAATGGTGGCCAAAGTCAACCCATTGTGTGATTTGTGTGTACACACACACACGCCTACACAAAAACCAAGGAAGGCAGCAACATTTCCAAGCTTGAAATAAATTTAGAGGAAGGCCTCCCTAGGGCATGATTGTGTGTTCATTTAGTTTTGGCAGATCCAAAATTTCTGTCTAATGCAAAAATATATATATGTGCAATAAAAGAAGAGAAAATGACAGAAAGACGTGACTATATTTAAGTGCAATGGAACCTCACAAAGCGTCTAATTCATACCCTCTGTCCCATAGGATGCCATGCTTTGGGATGAAAGCTCGCACTGAAATAAATGTGTCAGTCCTAAAGGCGTTGCCATACTTTTCTCTTTGTTCACCCTGTACACTAGAATTATCTGAATGCTACAAGCAGAACATTCCGAGGAGGTATCAGGAAGGTTGTAGAAACACTGAAATTCCTATACTGTACTACAAAAAAAAATATTCAAGGAAGAGAAATCCTCAAAGGGGGTGAGGAACAAAAGCAACCCTCTGACAACAGACCGTGTTCTGTGGCCATGGAATCCTAAGGACATTTGAAAATCCCACTCCTATTTTGCTGGAAGAAGGAATATTTCACTGGAATCCTAAGCAGGAGAACTCCACACACCGAGCTAGAAAAATTATTTTTTTAAATGATTAGTAATAGTACTCTTTAGTGGGTGGTGTATATAATTTATTAACATAATGACTGGCATTGCTGTGGCAGTGGTGTCATGTTATGTTGCTCAGTGTTAATGTTCGTTTGGCATCAAAATGCTGTGCCCCCTGGATTTTTCTGCCCACTGGAATCCACCATGGGAGCAAAAATAATCTTGTTTTTTGTCCTTCCTTTAACCACAAGCAGCTGGATGGGCCATATGCTACTTCTCCAACTGCTCTGCAAGAGGCCAATGGATGCCTTCAAACACTTACTGGAACACACAAGTAAGAATATAAACAAGACACACATTTGTTTACATTTCTGTTAGCATTTCTGGGAGGCGAAACAGCCACCGAAGCAGCACATCTAACGCACAGCTACTTTGGGTTGAAAGAATGAGAAAATGGTGGAATACTGTTAGCTTTTGCCCAGAGGCAGAGTGAGGATAGCATGATAGAGACAGGACAGGTCTGAAGGTGTCCCCACTATTTCTGGAAAATAGTTGATAACGGGCAGCATTACAGACACTTCAGAAAACAATGCTTAGAATAAGTTTCAAACATTGCTCATTATGCTGAATGTTATGTTTGTTGAGAAACATGAACCACGAGCTCCTTGTGAGCAAAAGAAAATAACATATTACGAGTCGTGCTCTCACTTTTAATACACTTTCACTCTATAGCATTGGGTTTCAGATCCCACATTATGGTGTCACATAGAGAAACAATTAATACCATTCCTAAATTATATTTCCAAATGCAGGGGTTTTTTTAATCACTTCGTTTATGAAAAAGAAAGTTTTTTTTTAAACATACCAGGTTCTCTTTAATCAACATACAATTCCGTTTTTCTCTCCGTAAAGTTCTGCCCTTCTTTCTGCAAACACGCTCACCCACAGGAAAAAGTACTTAAAACGGGAATACCTTTAGGTTTGACGGTGTAAAAGGCCGCCGCCTCTCCCTTTTTCCAGAATATTTTGGCATGCTCCTCCTTCGAATGAGGTACAAATAGCGCATCACAAGTAGAATTCCTCTCCAGGATTCCAAAAATGATGCAGTTAAGGACAAAGAGGACAATTCTTTCTGCATATGTCTGGACCTTACAAGACAGATGGGGGAGAGGGAAGGTGGGGGGGGGAGAATATGATAAAAGTGTTAATTCTCCTCCTCTAGCATAAAACCAACTACCAAAAACATTATTTTTAATGCCAGTGATTTACACAGTGTAAATCTGAAAACATGAGGTTTATTGGATGATATAAAGAATATAAATTTGTTGAAACACACGGAACTTGAAAAGGAAATAATCCCAACAGAGTATACTCTGTGTAAGGCACATGGTTTGAAGACAAGTAAGATTAACAGACAGGGTATCAGAGAGCTGCTTAAAAAGATGGAAGGAAAAAACCAATGCACAAAGCAAACTAATCTGTTCTATGCCTATGGGATTCCTAAAATAAACTTACAGTATCTGATCAGTTGGGGAATTTATAAAGACAATGACGTACAGTATATATTGCCTTGAAAGTCTAACTACATCAAAACCAAGAGAAAGGACGGGAAGCATTTTGGATCAGAGAAATCCCTTTAAAGAACTGTTCTTGACAATATATGTTTAAATGATTTGAGGTAGACAGCATTTGTGAATGCATCTGTTAAGTGAGACGCTGTGCCAAAGGGTCATAAGACTGGGTCTCCCCAACAGACGGCCAATCAAGCAACACTAACACTACTAGGCTATTATTGCTAATAGAATAACTCTGTTATCTGATTGCTTCCTCTACTACCTGCCAAAGGGGGTAAAGGAGACAGAAAAAAAAGGAAAAAGAGACACCTACAATGAATGGAAACAGGACTGAAGAATATGAATGGCACTTATAACATCTGGAAGGGCAAAAAATGGAAACCCCCTCCAGGAAAGTATTTGAAAGACACAACCTAAGAAGGTATATGGAAATATTGGCATCTGTATTTAATTATGTTATACTTACACACACAATTGCCAGGCAGACTAGTTTATGGCAAGCTATACAAGGCAGGGGATATCTACGATCACATCTCTTTCTGATAACATGGAGAGAAGGGGGAGTCTTCACCCTATAAGTAGTTTATAGTGGTTCCCAATTTAGATCAACTCTGTAATGCTGAGGGGGAAAGGAAAGCAACCCTGTCCCCCCAATATCATTCACAGGTGAACGCCTTGCTCTACTTTGTTGAAGGTGTTAGACACAGAAAGGAGAAGGGCAGGATCTGTTCTTGATCACTCCAGAGACATCCAATAACGGGCTCAAGCAACAGGAAGACAGATTTAGGCTGAATATCAGGGAAAACATCTTAACTGTTAGAGCAGTACGACAACGGAACCCATGATCTCAGAAGGTGGTGAGCACTCCAGCAGTAGAGGCATTCAAAAGAAAAGGAGACAACCCTCTGTCAGATATACATTGATTTGGATCCCTGCACTGAGCAGGGGGTTGGACTCCATGGTCTTATAGGCCCCTTCCAACTTAATTCTTCTATGATTCTATGAAAATTAAAGGGAGGTAGTCTTCAGGATTTGTAGCTAGAGCCCAATTTAGCCTTTAGAGGAAAATTTCATGTATTTATGTTACTGTAAGCCTCTTTGAACACTGTTCTACCATAGAAAAGCAGCATATGAATAAACAAGTGGGGGCACCATTCCTCCCCATTTCCTCTGAAGTTTTATTTATATGTTAAGTCTATTCCTGAACTACCCAATTTACAATACAACACCATCACCACCGCCCTGCGCTGTTCTATCCAATTCTGATTGGCAAGTCACTCAAAATGCCACTGATGGAGCTAGAACTCACCAACTTGATTCCTGTCTCTGAATACGAGGAAATCGGTTGTTCCATGAATCAGATAAATATAAATGATTAACCGATTAAATATTTTTAAATGATTGACAGCATTAGTGAAAAATGTACAAGCAGTACAGTGGGGTCTTGACTTGAGAACTTAATCCGTATTGGAAGGTGGTTCTCAAGTCAAAAAGTCTGTAAGTCAAGTCTCCATTGACCTACAGTGCATTGAAAACCGATTAATTCCGTAACAGGCCGTTTTTGTTCCATTTTGGTTTTTTTCTGGTCTGTAAGTCAAATCTCAGTCTGCAAGTCAAACCTAAATTTTGTGGCCAGAGAAGTCTGTAACTCAAAAAGTCTGTAAGTCAAGCCGTCTGTAAGTCAAGGGTCCACTGTAGGTAATGAAAATGTGGGGCACCAAGAATCTTCAATCCTTGTTGTTTTTAAACCATGAACAGTGTGAGGTTTAAAGGCTGAGAGAGATAAACAGCAGAAGAAAAGAGCTTCACCTGCATCAGACTCTCCCGGGAAGGATCGGCAGTCTTCACTACATCTTCAATAAGCCACCAGGAACTGTCCAAATAAACCGATAAAACTGGAGGGGGAAATTGAATAAAGCTGCCAGAATGCAAATAAGAACTCATACATTTTCTCAGAAATATGGCTGTGTTTTTGCACTCCTGTTCTCAGATATACACGAGTTCTGCACTTCTGTCATGAGCAAGACAGAACAGCAAGAGATTAAAGGGACAATGCTGTTAGTGCAGTGGTTTCTGACTTGGAGTAACCCAGGTGGTTCTTGGACTGTAACTCCCAGAAACCCCAGCCAGCACAGCTAGTGGTGAAGACTTCTAGGAGATGCACTCCAAGGATGGGAACGAGTGCAGTAGTGTATCTCAACTGAGCTGCGAACCACATTATTAACACACATGGCACACAATCGTGTTGAAGCACCTTCTGATGTGCACAGAGATACATTTCTGGGCAAATCTGGCTAACTGAAATTGGTCTGCCAGGAGAGGAGAAGCATCTGTGGAAATGCAGCTGTAGTCCAGAAACCATTCAGGAATGTCTCAAGACCACAGTCAGAATTCCAGTGGTGTGCCCTTTCCTGCTGGGAATTACAGTATAGTTCAATACAGCTGGTGGGCACCTGCGCTAGATGGTGAATGTAAGAGTTTATTCCACTTGAACTAAAGTAGAACCTAGAGACCCAAGTGGCAGTGTAGTATGGTCTCCCAGCCAAATTAAGGCATATATGCCATGATGAACCCTTTGGAATCAAGATGGGCATGAACCAGCAGTTTGGCGGTTCGTGCCGGTTCATCCTCTAGATGGAACAGGTGTTCAGCAGTTCCCAGCCAAACCTCCTTCAACGGACAGTGGCCCTCTTTGACCATAGTTTGCCACACAAAAGCTGGATATTACCTGACTAGTTAAACTAATTAATTAACACCTATGCAAGTCTTCGGTCTCTTACAACAAGCAAGAGATCATAGGGAGGTCTGTCCAGCCTTCTACCTAAGCTGTACCTGTTTCAGAAGTTCACCTTTTTACCACTGACTCCTCTTTCCTATTGCACAGACTGGAGGTACGTATTTGCATTTACGTTCATAACATGGTTGAGAACCTTTATGACACACCACATTCCAGGGAACTGTGGAGGGGCACTTTTTGTGACCAACACTCATCAAAAAGTTAACTCTTCTTTGCTGCTACAGGTCCATGTAATGAAACAGTGTGTTCTTTTGTTCCCCTCGACACCTTATCACAAAGCATTACCATACTGCAGTCCTATTAAAGCAGGTTTAAAGGAGATGTCACTCTTCAGATTTCTAGACACAGTGATTAAAAAATAAATGGAAGGAAGCTGTAACTTTGGCTCTCAATGTTCCAAAACTAACAAAATGGCAAATCACTAGATAGCTGAGAGAACTATTAAGAAGTTCAGTAATGAAGAAGGCATTAAATTGGGTTATGGATCAAAATTCAAAAGTACAAATAAAATGGAAAGATAGAAGTTGGAGTGCATAACGTTCTCCTGGTTTTCTTACACTTCACAGATAAAGCATTCTTCTGCAGATAGCAAGTAATTTATCTGGGAAAGCTTTTGTGGTAGGAATGAAATGTTGTCCGTATGCTAGAACTGTTAGATACTTTTCACAACATTCAAAAAATATTTAGTAGAATGATTACCTCACAACCTCATCACTGCCTAAGCTTTGTATAAATAGGAAACATATTTTAAATATGTGCAGACATGTTGCTGTGTTTCTATTTGCAAACTAGTGAGAAGAAACTTTTTAAAAATTATTTTTACTGTTCTTTCAAAGGAGCAAGTCCCGTGGCACAGCACCTAAACTGCAGTACTGCAGTCAAATCTCTGCTCATGACTTGAATTTGATACCAAAAGGTTCAGGTTAACTGGCTCAAGGCTGACTCAGCCTTCCATCCTTCTGAAGTTAGTAAAATGAGTATCATGCTAGCCTAGAGGGCAAGGTGTTGTTTGCAAAATTATGTCGTAAATCACCCAGAGAGTGTTCTAGCTGTATATAAGTCGAAACAACAACATAAACAGTCTTTATCAACTTTTAAGTTAAACACGGCTATTGAGAGGTAAAGCATAACTTTCCCGCTACACAGTCCTCACTTATCTCCTTGTTGTGGCTTAAAGGTGACAATGGGTTCTTGAAGGCTACGAAAATGATCCTGCATTCTCAAAGGCTCTTGCAGATTGGTAATGCTTTGAAAACAGTGCTAGAGGTAGACATTATTCAAATAACAGCTGAGTGAAGTACAGTGAGGCTCAACACAAGAGGCAAGGCTACCAATCGGCCATGACAAATTATATATGGAATAATTACTACCGGCATTGACGGAAGGACTATTTACATTGATGAAATCAACAAATGTTCAAAGTCAAGCAACCTTTGCTATCTAAGAAATCTCCACTGGATCTTGAGTCTAGCAACAAGTACTTGGGGGACCGTAGACTATGTTCTCCACTTTTTGCTTGCTTCAGTCTCTGAGTGCACAAGATCCCACTTCTTGTTAACTGATAGCTTTTGGGTATATGGGATTCTTTGCCTCGGATAGAAACATCTCTTGGTCTGGCTCTGTACGCGGAAAAGAAAACCCACATGCTGGACAAACCCACAAACTAGAGCAGGCAGGTACAGGTGCCTACTTCTTTCTCCTAAAATATGCTGTCACATACATCAGGAGAGATGCCCCTTCACTCATGCCATTGATAGTTGCAGAGAAGCCCAGAAGGATTGAAACGGCCCAGATTCCCCAAGCCTGCTAATACTTTGTGCACGTATGCCACTTTTTAGCCTAGGCAAGACAGACAGACAGACATATGAGATTGTAGCAGTCATGGTGAGTTCCCAACTTTTGCATTCACGCCTCTGGTAGGTGGCCCCAGCTTCTGTCCTCGATATATCTAATTACTGGCTCATATCCTCTTGCTTAGCATACTAGTTTCAGCCAGGCTGGGCGGCTGAGGGGCCTAACACCGAGGGAGGTCCGGAAGGAAAGAACAAGGAACAGAGCCTTCTCAGCAGTGGTCCCTCGCCTTTGGAACAACTCGCCGGTGGAGATCTGCCTGGCTCCCTCTCTAGGTGTTTTCAGGAATAAACTTTAAACCTGGCTATTTGGGCAGGCTTTCCCTCCTGCCATATCTTAATTTCTTATACTTTCACCACCTTGGATCTATAGTATATGTTTTTGGTTTTATTGTTTTTAAATTTGTAAACCGCTCAGAGTAGACCTTTGGATGGGATAGGAATTCAATAAATAAATAAATAAATAAATAAATAAATAAATAAATAAATAAATAAATTACAACTAGAGTAGGCCCATTGAATCAATGCAACTTACACACAAGTGGACTCCTAAATCCCCACTGATTCACTGGGCTGACTCTAGTTGTGACTTAGTACCCTAAGCAAGAGGATTTCAGCCGCTGTATTTTTATATTCTAATACACACACATGAGTGTGTGTATGTGTGTGTGCGTGTGCCCTTTCATTAGCTTATGTAAATTAGAAATATATAGAATGAAACTGAGGCCTTCTGCATGGACCAGACTGTATCCCAACTGTAGCAGTGTGATGGTGAATTAATAAGGTACAGAAGCTCGTAATGACATACAGGATCATAATGATATCCTAAGGAAGAGCCGCAGCTTTCGTATCTTGCCTTTCTGTATTTTATACTCAGAAAAGCCTGATCAAAAGCATGGCTATCAGGAACAAAACAAACCCCGAACAGAATCTCACAGTTAGGCTTGTGCACAAGATAGCAGTCCTATGGATACCTGGGAGCAAACTCTACTGAACTCTGCAGTGCTTTCCTTTGCTGTAGATTCAGCCGGTAAAACACCCCGCAACACAAAGAAGACCGCAGTGCAGCCACATCCCAAAGGCGATGTTTGGCTTTCAAGTCAAAATAAACAACATTCCCCCCAAAAAAGAAATGCTACAGTTTAAGGAACTGTAGAACTTCTATCACAGAAAAGGAAATATCTACCCAGTCTCTGCATGATTCTTCTTCATATTCTTGTATATTAACCAATACTAATAAAAGGGCAGGTGTGTGAGAGAGTGCATGCATATAGGAAGGCATATACACTCAGTATGCTGTCTGCCTCCTGTATTCTTCCAAATTCATGAAATCTGGGCACCTGGTCTATACCTGAAGGGATTCCTGGAGATGAACACCTTGAGCTTCTTTTCTGTTCTTTATTTTTTTTCCCTTTTTTATTAGGTAATCAAAAATCTCTCTGTAGCTGGCAATAACATCTTTAGCTACAGGCGTCCTTCATTTGCCCTAGAGAAAAGGCTGGAGGCCAGCCTAGAAGATGGGCTGTAGGGCAGCTCAGTGACTTAGATATGGGAGTTCAATTCCACACTGTGCCTCCTTGACAGGGCTGGACTCCATGATCCAGAGGGTCCCTGTGCAGTTCGAATATTACATGACATGACATGATATGACAACATTCAGTTTTTCAAAGGCATTCTACACAACTATAATGTATAGCATCTTTCTGAAAGGCCCAGAACTCTTCAAACGAGTGACAGACCAGAGAGTTCTGATCCCTGGTCAGGGAGGGCGGCCAGGACAAGAAAAGGCAGACAGAACACAATACGGATGAACAGAAAGACCAGCGAGAAAGGAAAAAGGAGGGGAAGGAGGGAGAAAGAGGAAGAGTTCCAATGTCAATCAGGGAACCAACGGCTTAGCAACCTTTGCCAAGCTGCTACTCCTGCCAACCTGTCATAAACATCTGTACAGCCTGAAATTCCCACTTATCACCCAGTTACTTGCCTTGGAGCAGCCATGAGTTAGGTAAAGGTTCCCCTTGACATTTAGTCCAGTCGGGTCCGACTCTAGGGCACGGTGCTCATCCCCGTCTCCAAGCCGTAGAGCCAGCATTTGTCTGTAGACAGTTCCCATGGTCACGTGGCCAGTGCGACTAGACACGGAACACCGTGACGGCTAGTCTTCTGACCCTGTAGCACAGAGGCTTCTGCGGTTTAACCCACAGAGCCGCCACGTCCCTTCATGAGTTACTCAGGCACTAAAGCAGATAATCACCATACCATGAAGTTGCTGGCCTGACTCAGTATAAGCTAGTTTCCCATGTTTCTAAGGTTAGGGCAGCTGACATATATTTTCTCCTTGGCTTTCATCCAGTTCTTTTGCAGGGCCACACGCGGCTGGCTTCAGCAACTAAACCACACCCTATATAACCCCTTTCAGACCATTCACAGAGGCACTCTGAGATATGGAGGAGAAGAGTAAAAAAAAGAAAAGTCACACTAACCTTTATTCTTTTCCTGTGGATCAGTTAAAACCAGAAGCTTACGCTCACTGTCTTCTCTGTACAGAGGGACGAAAGACATCAAGGAAGCTTCAAGTTTAATCTGTAATCAGACACATTGTTCACATTCGTGATACTCACGCATTAAAGAGTGCCCACAACAAGGAGAAGAGTGGGGAAATTATCATTATTACCAATCAGAGATGGGCATGAACCATTGGTATGGCTCAGTTCGTTTCCCAACTGAACAGCTGATCCATGGTTGGGCACCTGCTGGAGAGAGCAAGGCAGGGAACCACAGATCAGCTGTTTAGACTGGAAAGGAACTGCACAAACCTGCCAAACCCATGCCCATCTCTATTACCAATACTTATTAATCAGCAGCCTGTTGAGGTTACCTCATTAGCAATACGTTTTCCGAGTGGTCTACTATGGGCCTACTGTAGGTTAAAATCAATCTAAGGGAACTAGAACTAAGGTTTCAAACGTACGTGGAAGAACAACTTCCAATTCTGAGTTCGTGGCTATGCTCTGAAGAACCAGGTTCTGGTTTACATATGTAATAAGATACAGTGATCTCTATTCCAAACTTCAAACAGAACCTTCATTATCCACAATATATGAAGGAGAGGCCGATGAATCTACAATTTCCCATAGCAAGTAACCCGGGAAAACCATTTTTTTTACTGTTAGGTCTGAACTGCACCAATGTGTGTGAAACAGTTTAAACATTCTAAAATGCAACACAAATCATGTATGTCATTACTGCCATGCTTACTAAAGCATAGAATAGGACTAAGTTGTCCAAATATATTCCATGTTTGTATTTGTTTGTTTTGGCTTAGGATTTTTTGTATGGATCAGGAGATATTCCTTACATGTACTTATTTACTTACTTACTAATCCTGTATTTCTCCTAAAAAGGAAGTCAAGGCAGTGACTGTGTTTTGAATGGAAGCACTACTGTGTGATTTTTAAAAAATAAAAATAAGGAGGTCAGCCATAATATACTATAGGCTGGCTTGTATTCCGGGTAAAGGAGTTGACAGAAATCCAACTAAATAATGATATAATCTGCTTAGTCTTGGTATTGAAGAGACTGTACCGACAGTGAGTTTAAAAATAAACAACACCCCCACAAAACTGCCAGGCGAATACTGGTGAGGTGGCAGTCTTGAATCTGAGACAGAATTTAAGCATAAGACAGCCAGAAGGAGAGCAATGGTCCAGCATCAGCTCTAGATCCCGTCTCTCGCCTTTCGGACACTTAACGCTCTACCCCAACTGTAGCAAAACAATATTTACATTCTGACCCTAAACCACAGAAATTAAGATCCTTTGGAATCCGGGCCAAAAACGGCATCCTTAGTTTACCCAACTGCATCTCGCTCTTCTAAGAATGCAGAGTCACTTAGCGTGCTAAGCTCCTCAGCCAGCCATCATCCTCTCCCCAACTGAGCACCAGATGGGACACTAACACTGCATCCAGGCACGATAGGTTTAGCCGAGGACAGAACAACAGCCTTCACCCTCTTGAACTCTCTCCTGCCTGCAATGTCCCAGTTGTTTTATTCAGAAGCAGTTGTGAGCTTGCGACGCTAGAGGGCATTCGAAGAGTGATTATGTAAAAGCAAGCACCTTTTGCACTTTAGACTTTATAAACCTCACGCACATGGGTTTTCCTTCTTCCTGTATACAAACAGTGCTCCAAAATTTCACTGAGGAATTGTTTCACATTGGGTTTCAGTTGCTTCAGGTCAAAAAAATAATGCATTTACGGGGGCTATCTGTTTTGGGCATTTTGGAGGATTCTGTAAAGCAGTAACCCTGATAAAGAATGCCAAAGGGAATGAGAAACTGAATGCAAATATTTTATGTACCCATCTGGGAACAGTCTTCATGTCAGATTTAATCTACAATATTTTTTATCTACTTACTCGGCATCAACTCCTTTTGTTTAGATTTTCCATGACAACCCAATGGATATTAGAATGTTTGTGTGTGTGTGTGTGTTTTAAGACTCACAAACACCCTCTAGGATAGAAAAGGAAACAACTGTAGCCATGTGGTCACAGATCATGCTTTCACCATAGAGTACCATTGTCCTACGCACCTGGGTGAGGCCACATTGGAGGCACTGTGGGAAATTAAAATGTCTACACACTGACACTCAGGACCTCTCTTTAGAAGTGGTGGGCAACTAGCATGGAGAACAATCTCCTATGAAAATGGCAGGCAATAGGACACCAAGAAGAGACATCCAGCCATGCCATACTGGAGCAAAGTCCTGTCTACCATAACCCCTTGTCAATGAAAGGTCCACATCTCCCTTATGTTCTCTAGTCACATGGCACTGAGTGTCATGTCTGGCACTGGAAACAATTTATAGCTATCATGACTAGTAGCCAACGATTATTTTCTTCTTCACGAATTTGTCTAATCCCATTTTGAAGTTATCAACTGTGGTGGCCCTCTGTACACATTGAAGCACATTAGAAAAGTTACAAATATATCATCCAACTGAATGTCATTTTCTTCTGGTTTTGATACTTTCCCATTCTTCTATTCTTAAAAAATGAATTGGCTGGCCTTAAACCATGTAACATTTGTTAATCTTGTGATGTTCACGAAGACTCCTTTACAAAGAACCTCTGGTCAGCGGAATATCCACTTTTTAACATCTTGAAGAAACAAAACATACTTACATTCTCTTTTCCTGGAATACAGAGGAACTCGGCCTCTGACGACGATTCCTCTAATAGCTTTGTATAATACACATGAGCTGCTGCTTCTAGAACTTCCGGCTTTTCATATTTAATATCCACTGGGTAAAGATGAACTAGGAGAAAGGAGATTGTTAAGCACCGGCTCGTTGGAGTGGACTATTCAACTCTGTACCATTGAGTGATAAAACGCCAAAAGGGTGTCAAAATTCTGCTCTCAAATCTCACCAGGCCTTGGAGAGGAAATTAAGAAGCTCCTTTAGAAGGCTATGTTGGCATTAATAGGCTACTTCTCACTCCGATTGCAACATCTAATAAATTAGCTGCTAAGATCAATTGAGCAGCTAAAATGCCATGATTAAATTGGGAATAACAGTTTTTAAATTATCTTTAACTAGCTATGATTATCCTTAATTACCCAGAGGTATACAGTCTCTGGACAGAAAGCAACCTTACAGAAGAAGCATGATGGGAGTGAACCGCAGCCTTCTAGCTACCAGTCTACAACTCCCATTACCTTGTCAATCAGCCATACTGGCCAGGAAAATAACTTTTTCATATCATACACTGATGAGCTGAAAGCCAGTTACATTCACCAGGAAAATAACTTTTTCATATCATACACTGTTACATTCACTAAAAACATTGGTTACCGCTACCCTAATCTAATGAAGTTTCTCTTTTATTCATTAATTTGAGTTCTCGCATGACTAGAACTCATTTTTCACCAGTCATTACCAAGCATTATGTTTTCCCATACAGTGGGTTGAGCTGGTGGTGGAATACCAGACTCCTTCCATTCTATTCCCAACTGCCCCTACTAAAAGCATCTTTTCCTAAAATAGACAGGTGACTAGGCTACTACAAAACCCATCTGCCTGCCAGTGCACACGACATTCAGAAACATGGGCTTTAAAATCACTCCCTAGCCTTCTCCCGGGAACCCTCCTCCGGTCTGAAGCTTTCTAGGAATCAGCATAGCAGCTGCCTTAAAAATGAAGTTGTTGTATCACTAGTTTGCATTACGTTCGTGTTTGCGGCTTTGAGGTGGAGAACAAACAACAACACAACACTACCTATCCAGTTTTGTTTGCACTGTAAAGTATTAACAAACACTTTGCCGCGAAGAAAGCTTGCTTTACAAGAGAAACAGAGAGAGAGGATTTATACGCAGGCGCTCCGAGGAACTATGTCAAACCGCCATATACAGTAAAGGGGATCCGTTCTACATTAGGAACAAAATGAGACATCATTATTATTAAATGCGCTAATAAGATATTTTGGAAGAGAGGAATGCTCTGCAGGATTAACAGCAATCTTATTTTTAAAGTCTTTATACTCAGATTTAAGTTGCCTGGGTGTGTGCTTCCATAAACAGCAAGATGCATGGCATTCCATATATGTAGTCGATGAACACAGCTCAAAGGGCACTGCCTCCTGTCTCAGCCATGTCCAAACTATAGATATAGCACTTCTTTCATTTTTGCTGTAAAAATGCTGTCACAGATGAGTCAATGCTACCACCGCCCCGGCACAAAATTTCATTCCTCTTCTTTTGGATCCAGCATTCTGTTACAAGGAAATGCATCTGAATTTGTGACTTAATCTAACATTTACAAGGAAATATATTTGAATGTGTGACTCACGTTAAAATTTACTTACGTATAGGGGTACAGTATTTAATCTTTTCAATAGAACTGGTGCTGCATTTTCAGTTTCATTTTAATGTGTCTCAGCTTTATGAGCCAAACCCCTCTTCTCTAAATAATTCAGTTTGACACAAACTGATGTATTTTTTTAAGGCAAAATAACTCTTGCTCTTATCCAATACAGAGATATGCATTAAGGGGGGGGGGGATTCCTACAGCTGCCAGAGAAAAAGAAAAGAAATGGCAGAATCTTTGTTACAGTTTGCCAGTTTTCCTACTCTGTTTGATTTCTACATATGCCCAGCCTAACCGAGCAGTTAAGTAACCAAAGAAAACCCAAATTCCAATGAGAACTTTTTACACAATTTTAACTGCTGGATTATATGTGAAACAGCGATTTCTCCAAAACCATCAGGAAAGAGAATACATGGTGCCAGAAAAGTTACAATAAAGTGACCTACATTTATTTTTAAAGGCCAAAGATACATGAACAGTATCAACAAAGGACAATTTTAAAAATATGAGGTGTTTCTCAGCAAGAGCAGAAATGGTATAGTGCAACCGGTAAATACACTGAAAACAGAACATCTCCTGCCTTTGACAAATTCCAAACTTTCTACTTTGGAGCTGAAAGGGACGAACTGCCATCTTAAATAGCCCATGCCAATAAACAAGTTTAGAACATCACATATGCTGGGTCTAACAGCCTATAGATGTCACTAAAGATCTTAACTAACAGGTAGCAGCTTCCGGCTTTTTTTATGTGTGACATTCTGGCAATTACCTTTATTCACACCTGAGCGGAAAATGTTTCTGTTAAATCTCAAGGATATAACACACATAGCTGGTGTCACTCTTTAGCATTTTGCTGTTATTCCGGTAAGGACAGTTTTTGGAAAAGGATGCAGTGGTTAAGACAAAGACTGTGGACGTAATTCCATGACCTCTGTTCAATTAAAATTCACACAAAGCTCCTGCTTGGAGTCTCAATTCTTTCTCCTAGGATTACTTCGGGAGCCACGTCACTGATTTCAATCATTGCAACATCTACTGCAACACCACTTAAATTTCACAGGGCTGTACATCCAGAAATATTCCCACTAAAATAAGTCTATTAGTCTTAAAATTGCCACAAGACTTTCCAAGAACCAGGCTGATAACTTCATTGCACCATTAACAGGTCAGATGCAGGTATTAACTTCCATATTTTGAAGGGCCTCTTCTCTGGGGCAGGCAGTTGAGGATGGGCATGTTACAAGATTATCTGTTCTTCTGCCACTTAATTTTGCCACGTTTTGAAGGACGGGCTGAAGAACAGACGTTTTGTGGCCTAGAGCAGAAAAAACAACAACCCCACCCTTCTATCAAGACCAAAAGAACAGCCAAATTATTTTGGCCTCTGAGGCATAAAAATCCCTCAAGTACTTTCTCCCCCACCTCTTGCTGTAAAAAATGCAACAGCCAGAATACTATTGGTGTTCACATAGGATTTGTATAACTTGCCACTGCTAATTGTGGCTAACTTGCCAAGTCCTGCAGGCCATCTCAGTTGCACAGGCAGGCGCAAGCACACAACTGCAACGTGACCCAGCACCTCATCAATTAGCTACAATTAGCTGCATGCAAACTTCACGCAAACATTAATAAGATCCTGGACAAGAATTATAACATTACATAATAATTTACTGCCTGCTCATGATAAAGAACTGCCTCATGCTCCCCAACAGTAGGGCCCATTCTGAAAGACAATTCCTTAAATTATTGAAATCTTATTTTCATGCCAGTGTTTGACCAAGCCAAGCCACAGATTGCTTTCCACATCTCTGATTCTACAGCATGACTCTTTCCAAACATATTACTTCTCAGGAAACACAACATTTTCTGCTTAGGAATGCCAAGGAATTGCTGAACGCTGGGAATGCAGAAAGCATTGCAGGAAGAAACAGTGACTAACAATGTTTCCAGATGGCAACATTTCGTTATTGACTTCAATTTATCAAAGGCATAATAGCCATCTTTCAAAAAATGAGGATAGTTCTTCCTCTATAAAGCTTATTTGTGCAAGCATGCAAAATTGTTTAAGAAGGCTTAGGTAGTTGTTAGCTAAAGTAAACAACAGTATATCAAAGCATTATTCTGACCTACTCAGTTATGGGAAGTCCCTTCTGATTCAACATGGGACATTCACGTTTAACACAAGAATATGCTTTTGTTTAGTCAGATTATGATCCTCAAGAAATCACAGTCAGGATGAGCCAAGTCCGTATGAGCCAAGACACAACATTTCTACATGGTGCATAATTTGGTTAAGGATATAATACCACTGTTGCAACAAACAAGCAATATGCCACAATGCTGAGCAGTCTGTGATCCTTCTACTAAGAACCAGTGAATGGGTCTTCTGAATCTTTGCTTAGCAGTCAACCAGTCCATAGGGAGTATACTTTGCAGTTATGAAGTAACATTGGTTCATGAAAGTAATGAATCACCATCTCCAGGAATTATGGCAAGCAATAAAATTAGTAGGTAAGGGTAAGTAATAAAAGTAGCCACAGATACAGGATTCTTGGACTTTACGTTTAACATTGGAAATCACCCAGTATTGATGATTTTGGTAGAATTCCCGTAGGTAATAATCTCTCAGTTTCCTATTTAAATAGGGATTTCTAAGTTTAAAAACTAAATACCACACACCCAGCCAACCTCATGTAATGTGATACTTTCATCTGGGAGAAAGACGTTATCACATGGAATGAAACATCTGGATTGACAAACTGTATAAAGAATTGCAAATCTGGTGTAATCAAAAATACTTATTCCTGAAAGAGTGGAATTAAAAACACAAGGGGACACAACTTGCAGATATATCAGAGAAAGTTCAGAATTCTTCTCTTTTCAAAGTGAACATAGAACTCTTAATGATTCTATTTTCAACTTCTATCGGAGAAGAACGAGAAAAAAGGAAATAATTTCACTTAACACATTCTCACTTACAAAACTGATAACCCAGCAGACAAATCTGATCTCCAAGGCAGTTTTAATACTGAGCAGTCCTACTAGACTTTATCCAAAGTAAAGTCAAATGTCTGGCTCCCAGTTTCATTTTCAAGGAAGAGGAACAGTATTTTCTAGTTACAAGAAATAGTGAAATGCTACAATTTGTTACAGACTTCTTTTGGATTATGTCTGTAATTTACATCTTTGCAGGCAATGCTAAAACTGAGCACATACTGTCCCAAAACTGTGAAGTCCTTAACAAGGTGATAACAGAGCCTCGGCATTAATTAAAGGTGAAGTGTGACAAATTTGACAGACAATTTGATTCTCCTTGTCTGTAAGCTCCCTCTTGATTAAAGGAATTAGACCTTATTTCCTTTTTTTACATGTGAGTAGGGCTCTTCCCATCACATATATCTGAGCTCTAATTAACAGGCAACTTACTTATATTTGTTACACAACAGAAGACTTTTTGGTTGAGGTGGCAGGAATGGACAAAGTGTGTCTCCCCTTGTGCTGTGGTTGTTAATTCCCACCAGCCATAACCAGCCTAGCCACTGGTGAAAAGGGCTGAAAGTTACACTCCAACATATGAAAGGCTGCATTTTGCCTATCAATCATACAAAATACATACATTAAACTTTTGCCAAAAAAACCAAAACACTCTGTCTTGAGCAAACAACGTAGCTTACAAAAACATTGTCTTAATTTTATGGTTCACCATTTATACAACAAAAACATGCATGAGGATTTATGTTCCTCGTTTCAATACAAGTGCGATACTCTTTCCTACACAGATTTTAGGGATGGGATGATGAGAGCAAAGTGCAGTTCATGACTTGTTTGCCCTGAGTTGAAATCAGGTATGCAAAAAAATCCATACATCTAGAAAGCAAGAAAGCTATCAAGTAGAACAAGTATATTGGTTTAATTCTATCCACCCAGTTTTAAGAGGCTGAAGCTGTTCTGAAGTATTTTTCATAATTTATTAAAGATAAATAAATTATAATAATTAAAAACAGAGAAAAGGTTTTAATATCAATATATCCCCAACAAATATAATGAGGTAAGATATTGAAGCGGAACTGGAATGTATTATCAGGACAGGGGGAAACAAAGGCAGAGAGAGAAAAATTAATGGCTTGATTTCAGAGCAGAAAATCGACTTAGGCTTTGCATAAACAATGCCATACCTTTAAGCCTTCAAAGTGACAGTTGGGCTTGGAAAGCAACATTCAATCAGAAAGCAGAGCCTATTAAAAAGCGTAATGTTTCTAAACAGCATCTGTTATGTACTAATAAGCATTACTTAAAGGACACAGACCTTTAATTGCTACCAAACGTGCACTTATTCAAAAATGCTGTAAGGCAATCTTTACCAGAAAATATCACATGACCTCACAGGAATCCCAACAATACGAAAAATGTTTTTAAATTTAATTTAGCTTGACATTTCTCAGCTAAATAAAAGCATGTAGGCGCTCTCCACAAATTGTATGAAAATGTTTGTGAGGCTTCGCAGGAATGAATGACAAATAAGAATTACATCAGAGCTATTTGCCATCTGTTGTCAGCACAACTGTATTGCTAAGATTGGTCAGCAGACTGCAGTTTTGTAACTTGCAAATGCAATATTTGTCATGTGTAATGAAACAGAAAGCTGTGTGTCTACACAAATATAGAAATACACCTTAAAACCTGGAAATCACTTTCCAAATTCTGCCCAGATGATACGTTGAATTCTCCTGACGCTCATTAGAAATTGGAGACAGAATCATTAAAATCAGACCTTAACATTTCTAAAAATCAGCCCTTGTAATTATTTTCCCCATTTCTGTTAGAATAACCATGAAATGAACATTAAGGACAGAAGGCCATCAAAGCGCTTTATACATACCTGATGCATGTGTACTTTGCAATCCTTACACAACTCTGAAAAATGAATGGTCTGAAATGTAATTCCAGTAACCCCCTATCTATAGAATTTATGTGCTACACAACAGGTAATTTTGGTCACATCAAACTCCATCAGACAATGGCAAAGTTCTATGGGCACAATGGGGCATTTTGCATTTTATGAGTATAAAGAATAGACAGAGAATCACATTTCATATTTTCCTTTAAAAGGAATACTGTATAGTAATAGTTGTGGATAATGCAGGTACTCCTTCACTCCATTAGTGGGGTTGTGGCTCACATGGGTAGATCTCATTGGTATGTAATGAAAAATTATGTAAATTAGACTAGTCATACAGTCATAGACTAGTGTCTGGACATATATATACAGTATTTCACTTTCTATGTTCAATTTTGTTTCAGTTTTTTCTGCCTATATATTTAAAGCCTTGGTAATTTCTCCATTATTGAAGAAAATGGATTTTAAATCACAAAAGGCCATGCTGAAATCAACAAGTCTTAAAAAAATAAGTTTCTTTGTTGTTTTGCTGAAACTGACTACCTAGATATTATCAACATTTAATGCAAATCCACTTTTAGAGATGTGTAAGCCGTCACTTGAGGACATTCCGAATTTTCTACCTAAAATCAGGAAGTTCACTGCTAGCTGAAAGATTTTGGGAGTTGTGGGCCAAAGCCAACCCTTGACTTAGTAGGTTGCATAAGCTTTTGGGAGGGCTTTGTATTTAAGCAAGAGGATTCATGGTCAAAGGTCTTTTTATTTAGCACTCTGTCCATTATTTGTCACATTTGGAGTGAAAACTTTAGAGAGACAGACCCAAAGCACAAGGATTGATGCTTTCTTAGCTATAGGACAACTACCGTTGCTTCATTTGCTCCCCACTAGACAACACTGTCCACTTGTTCCCACTGCACAAGGAGACATGATGTGCAAGCAGATAGAGAGCTTATAAGTGGACAGGTTAGTGATCAGAAGAAAGTGTGAGCAGAAGAAGCCGCTCCTTCCTTGTTATTCACCTTCCCAATCTGGGCAAACTTTCCAGAAGGTTAGGGACCTTCCTCTCCTGCAACAAAAGCGACAGGGAGCCTTACAGGCAAAGAAGTTTTACAACAAGAAACACCAAACAAAAACAAAAGAAGTACTTTAAAAAATACTATACTTTAATGTAAGCACTTCTTCAGTCCAGTCCTTTTAAGGAGAAAGACAGGGCAAAAAATATTTTAAATTAAGTCAATTAAATAAATAAGCGATGGTGGCGTTTTGTTGCATTTCACACCTAATAATGATTTATGACCCTCCCGTTTGGCATTCGTTTCTTCTGAAGCCTGGTTCTATAAACAGCAAAATGATTAAAGGAAATAAGAGAAGTTTTAGTTTGTGCCAGATAAAGGTTGATTATGGAAACCTCAGTCATTTCCTCCTCCTCCTCTCCGTGGAACAGTGATTCTGCTCAGTCAAATTAAACCTTCCCTGTTGCACCGCACAGAGAGAAAGGGAAAGCTGAAGGAAGAGTTAATGTTGCCACATTTCCTTAAATTTCACTCACCACGTAGGGGGGAGGTTAGGTGGCCATATGAAAAAGAACAACGGGGGCTCCAGCACGTGGAAAGGTTTTTCAACAGAAGCCAGTCGTACAAGCCACATCTGCCACACAATAATTACATTTTTTAGGAGCCCTGCTTTCCATGTGCCACCCTCGATGGAGGAGAGGCAGCCTGTGAGCAACCAATGAAGTCAGTGAGAAAACGGTGGCAGCCTTTGCGCCTCTACCTGTGCGTTCACACACTCTTTTCTCACAGGGTGGTTTTCAGGTGTCGGCTTCCATAATTTTGGGATTTCAACTCCTAGAATTTTCGACCCTTGGCCAAGTTTGCTGGGCTTTCCGGGGAGCTGAAGTCCAAAACATCTGAAGGGGGGGATGAATTGGAAAAAAAAAACACTGGTATGGAAGATTCACCTTAACTCAGCCCAATTTTCACCAGTGTACTATTTACAAGAAGAGTGTATGGAGACGAGAGGATGTGTTGGCTGTGGTCAGCTTACATCTTTGTCCACAGGCAGAATTTTTACCTAGTGATGCTCAAAATAGCACCCTCTCTAGCTTCTCTTCCTTCTNCGTTCACACTCACACACACACACACACACACACACTCACTCACTCACTCACTCACACACACACACACACACACACACACACAGTTATGGCCATATAAAGGGGGCGTGGGGGGGAAGACAATAGGACTCATGTAATTTCAATAGTTGGAAGGAAGGAGGGAAGGAAGGAACTGCCAAACATCGAGGGCCGTTCACGGATGGGCCTGAGGAGGAAGAAGCGAAGTGTGGGGCGTTCCGACGACCACCTTGCGCACCAAACACGCGAGCGGCGCCCCTGAGGCGTGAGGAGGGAACGCACGCGCGCACCCGCGCGCTTTGGCCAAGCTGAGGCGAACCAAACCCCACCTATACACAACAACACGCAAAAAGTAACGGAAATCACCCCATCCCCCCCCCCACACACACACACATACACAAGAGACGCGTGCGCAGGGTATGGCCGAGCCAAACCGCCCGGCCACGGGACCCCCGCCAGCGCCGCCTGAGGAAGGAAGCCCCTCAGTCCTCTGAGGGAAGCCCCCCCCCCGGGGAGAGCCGGTTTCCCCCGTGCGGCCTTCCCGGCGGCCGGCTTGCTTACCCGCGGAGGCGGAG